TGTTATCAGACTTCCTCAAACCCCAGCATGACTAATGCTTACTTGCTACATAGTACGGGAAGTTTATAAATGCAGGTAGCTCTTCAGGATTCCAATCTGAAAGGAAGACATTCTCTGACCATTCTGACTAAACACACAACATGTGCTCTTCTCTTTCTACAGTCTGTTTTTCTGTTCTGTAGTATAGACATTTACAAAATTTTTAAGGTTTATTTTGCTTTTAAGTGCTTTTCTGGGACGGCAGAGTGGTGTTTTATTTGTATTTGACATCATGCTAAGGCAGACACATAGCACCTTAGTAGACTTCCTATATAAGCAGCAACCAATTATAAAATATAATGGAAGAAAAGATCTTATTTATTATAGCATAACCTCACCCAAAAAAGATATCTACAAATAAACTACGTGAAAAATTACCACCTATACAAAGAAAACTTTATGAAGGTACTGAAGAATATAAATGAAGACATGAATACCTATGGAGAGATATGTGCTTATATAAGAATTCAACATTATAAAGATATCAATGTTCCCATATCAAACACTACATGTAATGCAATTCCAATAAACATACCAAGGAGATTTTATTTTAACTAGGGATTCTGGTTCTAAAGTTCATATGGAAAAATGAGGGAAACCAGGAAAAAATTATAAAATAAAAACTAATGAAAGGATTAACCCTACTATGCACCAAAATACATTATAAAGTTATATTAATCAAAACAGTGCTTTACTGGCATGTGCGCAGGCAGACAGAGGAATGGAATGAAATAGAGCCCATAAGTAGACATGTATTAAAGTAACAATATCTGGTTTTAAGGAAAGAAAGTGATAAATGTCTCATACAAAATCAAAGATTATTTCTCATTTTCAGAAAGTCCAAAACTGGTGCTCCTGCTTGGCAGGCTCTCCTCCAGGAAGGGATTCTGAGACCAACGTTCCTTGCATCTTCAGCTTTGCCACCTTCAGCACAGGGCTTCCCAAGTGTTTCTGGAGGACCTCTCCGTTCCACCTAGCAGCAGGCAAAGAGCATGGAGGTCACGTGTGGGAGGCTTTTACGAGCCAGACCCAACACTTCCTAACTGCGACTGAAGCTGCTGCAGCTTACCCTGTTGTGTGCCCGGAAAGAACAGGAAACAGGTTTGCTGAATACCGTGCATTCTCTCCCCTGAGACCCAAATACAGACTGGAATTTACTATATCATCAGGGTGACATTTTATATCAATGAGAAAAGATGAATTATTCAATAAATGATGCTGCAGAATTAGCTGTCTCAAAAAAAAAATAAAGTTGAATTCCCAATTCACTCCTGACAACAAAATTAATTACAGTGAAATCAAATTTGAATGAGAAGAAAGGAAGGAAACTATTAGAAAACACAGGAGAAATGGGAAAGCCTTTTTATAAACAAGCATGCCTACCTATAAGACTCAAGGAAATAAGGGGTTCAGGTTGTGTTGTGCATCCACCCAGATACAGCTATCCAAGGTTTCACAATTCTATTCCTTCCCTTTCAGGACCCTAACATTAACATGGAGCACCGGCTTTGGCTTGCATTCAGTATCCATTGTAGCTGTGACATTTTTGTATTCTGAGGCTAGCATTCAACATGGTCCACCCTCCTGCTGCAAGAGGTGAGAGTCTTAAGTCAGCCACGCAAGCCTTCTGGCTTTCATAACGCTCCCTGAGTTCATAGTGGGCTGACCTGGTGTGCCATTCTCCTTCAAGGCTTCCAGGAGAGTTAACAAAAGCCAGCCACTCTACGAGCCATTTATAAATATCATTGCCCTACATCTCTCAGGAACTGTGTAGCTGTGTTCCCTAGCCTGGGCCTTCCACCTGTACCTCATTCGAAACAATCAGAGGTGAACGTGCTGCTGCAGGATGCCGTGGGTTAGCCCTGCAGCCACTTAGACCAGCAGTGGGGTTCTCATTGCCCCTTGACCAGAGAGTGAGCACATTCTCCAGTCCCATTCTTTTTTTTCTTTAATTGAAGTACAGTCCATTACAATGTGTCAATTTCTGGCATACAGCACAATGTCCCAGTCATGCGTACACATACATATATTCGTTTTCATATTTTTTTCCATTAAAGGTTATTACAAGATATTGAACACAGTTTCCTGAACTATACAGAAGAAACTTTCTCCAGTCCCATTCTTGAGGGTCAACTTTCCATGGCCATCTCTGGTACCATCTACTTTAGTTTCAGTTCCCCCAAAGGCAGACCTTGAGGCAGAGACCCGGGGGCATGTAGTTTATTGGGGAGGTCATATCAGGAAAAGAGGGAGTGGGGAAAGTGAGACAGGGAAGGTGGAAGAGTCAGTAAAGGATGTATCAAGGAGAAGATTGCTGCTGTGGTCAACAAGAGCTGAATTCCACTCTGAGGAACAGGCAAGAACTGCCCGCTGACCGATGGAGAAGTTTGCACCTTTATCCTCTGGTTCCCGTTCTTTCTTGGTTGAGGGGTGCCTCCGAGAGCCTACGATGCTATTACTTCCCAGCCACCGTGTGAAGCCCACCCTTGCATGGGGAGAGCGAGTTCCATGGCACCTCAGAATGACTCAGGAAGAGAAACAGATCCACACACAAATGGGATGCTGTCAGGATGTGCAGGAGCTGTTATTTATGGCTGCAGGTACAGTTAGTGGCTGGGACATCAACAGCATGTGCTACAGCAAGAATTAAGGTACCAATTCTGTGAGATTCCTTTCAAGCAATTGCACACAGCATCTGGTGTGTTGCTGAAGGTGTGGGGGAACAGCATGCTGAGGTACTGTTGTCAAGGATGTGTATTGATGCAGCCTCTGTGAAGGGCAATTGGATGGTAGCTAGCAGTATTGAAGATGTATATACTGCTTGATCCAGGTTTAGGAACTTCACTGCTAGGAATCAGTCCTGCAGATACTGGTACAAAGCCTTTCATACAAGGATTTTCATTGTAATAGTAGAAGATGGTGTAGAGGTAAATTGCTGTACATCCATACAGTGGCACCTTAGAGGGGAATTCTCTCCATGTGCTGATGTTGAATATTCTTACCAGGAGGTAGCAGAAAGTGTAAAGTGGTTAGCAGTGTATACAGTATACGGTCATATTGTGTAAATGATGGAGGGGGAGTATGAGTGTTTGTATGTGCACAATCTCCAGGAGATGTCTACATGCTATGGATTTTATTCTTATAACTTTTATGTTATTTCTAGGGATCTGGGGAAAGAGGTAGAGGCTCCAGGATAGCATAAGTCTACCAAATGATAGACTGTGAAAACAAACGTGATGAAAACGGGCAGGTAATAACAGACTACAGCAAAGTGGTTAGATGACAGGTAGTCGTCCACAAATTGGTAGTTTTCCTGTTCAGCAGCAATAGATAGTTAGAAAATGTAATGGAAAGGAATTTGCAACAGAAACCTGAGTTATAAAACACCAAAGAATAAATGTAACAATAAAAATACAAGATCTTCACAAGGAAAAAAGTAAACTGTAGTGCACAAAAGAAAACATAAATAAATGAAGAATATTAATGGTCTTATTATTTTATGGTGCGAGTTCTCTCCAGATTGTTCCATAAAGACAATGTAATCCCCAAAATATCCTAATAATATAGTTTTACAAGCTAATTCAAGAATTCATAAGTAAGGCTACAAGTATATGCATAGCTTAGACAATTACAGGGGGAAATCAAATGATCAGTAAATATAAAAATCAACGTTATTCCTTCTAGTCGTACAGACATGTAAATTAAAATAAGATGTAACTTTTTGCCATATAATTGGCAAAAAATAAAAAATGTTGATACCACCAATCAAGAGTGTGAGGAAACAGTATTCTTCCACTCAGCTGACAGAAATAAATTATTTCCGCTTCTCTGCAAAGCAATTTGGCAATAGCTATGAAAATGTGAATTATTCATTCTCAATGACCCAGTGGTTCCATTTCTCAGTATCTACCCTAAATGTATCAGACATGTATTTTTAGTGGCAGGCACAAAGATGTTCTTAGCCACAGTTTATAGTTGCAAAGAAAAGAAAAAAGACAACCTAAATACCCCTCAATACAGTAATAAGTGGCTAAATAAGCCATGGCAGATCCATACTGTGGAATATTATGTAGTCATTTAAAGGAATGATGTAAATCAATATCTACTGATGTGAAAAGAATAAAAAGCAAGGCTTAAAATATTGTATTCTATAGCATCCCATTTATAAAAATATTAGGGGAAGGATAGAGCTCAAGTGGTAGAGCACACGCTCAGCGTGCATGAGGTCCTGGGCTCAATCCCCAGTACCTCTAAAAATAAATAAATAAACCTAATTACCTCCCCTCAACAACAACAACAAAAACAAGTTAAAAATATTTAAATATTTTTAAAAACCAAAACAATGTTTCATAATTGTACAGGTACAAGTGCATGATTTTACGTTTATTTTAAAAAGATACTCACCGTCCAAAACAGTAGCCACTAGCCACATGGGGCTATGTAAATTTACATTTAAATGTAGAATTCAGTTCCTCCATCTCAGCAGCCACAATTCAAGCTCTCAATGGCCACATGTGACCCGTGGCTGCTGTACTGGACAGCACAGATACAGAGCACCTCCATTATTGCAGAAGGCTCTGCTGAATGCTGTCCAGAGTCTTACTATCTACAACCTTCCTCATCAAAGAGGGGAAACCAGCAGCGTCAGCACCATCTGGGAGCTTGTTAAAAATGCAGAATCTTTGGTTCCTCCCCAGATTACTGAACCAAAATCTGCATTTCAGCAAGCTCCTTGAATAGTATATATGATCAGTAAGATTTAAAAGCTCTGCACTGAGACATAGTAAATAGTCTTATAGTTACAGGAGGAAAGAGGTGGAAAGGGATAAATTTGAGAGTCTGAGATTTGCAAATGATAACTATATATAAAAATAGATTTAAAAACATTTTTCTGCATAGCACAGGGAACTATATTGAATATTTTCTAATAACCTTTAATGAAAAAGAATATGAAAGCAAATACATGTATATATATGCATGACTCGGACCTTATGCTGTACACCAGAAATTGACATATTGTAACTGACTATACTTCAATTTAAAAGAAAAAATAATAATAAAAGCGCTGCACTGATCTCCAGTAATATTAGCACCATTATCACCAATGATGAGAAGCAATTTTAGCTGTTCTTCTCTCAGCACCTGGTGAAGACTTCCCATTCATAAAAGCTGAGTCATTACCCACTGATTATCAAGCAGTAGCATCTTGGTTTGAATTTCCTTAATTACATGTGTTTGAAATAATTTGGATGCCTATAGGGTGGAGTTGATTTTTTAAGAGATAAATGTACACATTTACTGATTATTCCTAAAGGACGACTTCACAGTTGCAAGATCTCGTTATCAACAAGACATTTGAAAAAGAATATGGTAAGTGGCCGTGTAGATAACAAACAGTATACGGGTGCTTGGCTAAAAATAAAACATGCTGTAACAGCATCATTTATAAAATCAAAATTGCACTTTCTTGAAGATGTAGATAGAATTGAAGATGATGTCCTCTTGAAATGTGTTTGACTCAAAAAGCAATGATGAAACCATTGATACAGGCATTTCTGCTACTAAACAATTTTTTGAAAAAGCCTTATCTTCTGCAAACTTGCACATTAAAAATAACAAGGCTTATGGAGGAAAGTGTGGAGCAGGCCACTCAAAGGCTATGCAATTCCATAACAAAAGAATTTTTTTTAAAAAAAGCATAATCCAATAAGAAATACTGGCAGATTAACAAGCAATAAATTAAACTCTTAATAAAGAAATACTACAATAAGATGAGAATCTTACCCTTCAAGAAGAAATAAAAAACTAAAAGCTTGATGGAAGGATGTATAAAAAATGGTTGGGAACTTCTGAGATATGGCAACAAAATTAAAATGCATAAAGGTGGTGAAAACTGAGTACTATGCACATCCAAGCTGAAACATGTAACCCAGCTGAGCCAAAAGGAGGCAGAGGATGTGGGGTGGGAGGGAAGAAGCAAAGTCCAGAAGAGTAACTATAGAGTATCTGTGGTATGGCACCCTTCACGTTGCAAGAAGGAGATATAAGGAAATACACACATATCTTGTTTGTGAAAATGATGTACAGATCTTCCCTGACTTACAGTGGAGTTATGCCCTGATAAACCCACCATAAAGATGAAAGTGCATTTCACACACCTAGCCTACTGAACATCATACAGCTTAGCCTAGCCAACCTTAAACACACTCAGAACACGTACATTAGTCTACAGTTGGGCAAAATCATCTAAAATAAAACCAATTTTATAATAAAGTGTTGAATATCTCATATCTAGCTTTGAAAGACAGAGTCGTTGGAAGTGTGTGGGTTGTTTACCCATGTGACCCCGTGGCTGACTGGGAGCTGCAATGCACTGCCACCGCCCAGCATCACAAGAGAGTATCTACCACATCCTGCTGCAAGTCTGGGAAAGATCAGAATTCGACATCCAAAGTACGAATGCGGATAGTTTTCATCATAAAGTCAACAAATCTTAAGTCAAAAAATCTTAAATCAGGGACCATCTGTACAGGAAAGATAAACCAGAAATGAAGAGGTGAGTTACCTACAAGGTGTGGGCAGCAAACAGGTGAAAAGATAGGGAAATTAGGAGGGAGTGACATTCCTCCGAGTACAACTTGTGTGGAGCTTTGACTCTGAGAACCTTACATATCCTCACATATCCAAAAATAAATTACTACAATCAACCAGGGTGGGAGAAGAACCCAAAATGGAATATGAATAGTAAAAAGTTAACAAATATATTATAAATGACTAACATAACCATACTGAAGGAGATGGGGAAGGAAAAAAACCAACCGAGCTAACTTTGGAAAACAGTAAGTTAACAGGACACTGAAAGGTAAAGAGAAAGAACTGTTTACAATGACTATACTCTAGCTAGTAAATTTGTTTCTCATAGGAGTGTGGATTAGCAATTCAGTAACTATTTTGTGTGTATACTAGTACTGAACAAATTAGTGGAAAAATTGTATTTAAGGGCCATGATTCTCATTCTCAGAGGAATGTTACAAATAAGGAAAGGGGGGTGCTGCTAGAAAGGAACCTGTGGTGTTGAATTGGAGTCAGAAGTATCAGCATTGAAATGATTATTTTTAATACATATCTAATATATACACCTACATTTAGTGTGTGGGTTCATACATACACATACATCTCTTAACTCCATCTGCTAAAAAGACCTAGAAGTAGTGGTTATCTTATGGCGATAAGCACACCTAGAACCTAGAACTTGGATTCTAAACACTATTCCTCAATGAAAGGAGCTGGGCCTCCTTTGGAAAAACACAAGATGGGTATAGAATGGCCTGTTGTATCAGAAAATAAGGAGGTGCTTGAGGTACTTGAAAAAAGATGGGAACATGTCAAAAAGACACAGGAACCAACGTGACAGTGTTCCCAGTGGACAAAGCTAGGACAGTTTGAGCAACAAAATAAAAAATAATAGTATTGGATTTGAGCTCAGAATAAAGTAAATTTCCATGAGTCCATACCAATATAAATAAGTATGTATGGGGGAACAGTATGTCTTCTTACAAAAAAAAAAAAAAGTCCAACTAATAAACATAGGAGACATGAGAGAAATGAAAAATTATCACCACGCAGATACCACCATAATAAGTGTCGCAGGCCTGATCAATTCGATGGATGCTGAAATCAGCCGTGAGTGTTTGAGGAGAAATAAGGTATTTCATAGTCCCAAATCTCTCTCTAGGATATTTGTCAATTACATAGGGGAAAAAAGCATAATTTTACTGTGGACAATCTGCACGTAACTCCTTAGCCAAGTGCCCAAGGTTAACATCACCAGGAATAAATCACACTGAAATCATTATGCCCTGAGATGGACACACCAGCACTTCTAGGGTAATCTTGCCAAAAATCCAACACCTCAGTCTAATCGTGAGACAACGCCAGATGAACCCAAGTTGAAAGACTATCAAGATCATGAAAGACAAGGAAAGCCTAAGAAACCGTCCCAGATTGCAGAAAACCAAGGAGGAAATGCCTAGAAGCAGTGTTGATCCTGGATTGGATCCTGAAGCAGATAAAGGGCATTAAGGGGAAAATGAGTGAAATTTAAATAAAATCTGTATTTGACTAGGAGTGTTTACCAATGCTGTTTTTTCTGGTTTTGGTAACTGTATAATGGTTGTGGAATTGTGAAAACCGGGGGAAGCCGGAAGAAAGGCATATGTGAACTCTGTACTGTTATTGCAACTTTCTTCTAAGTGGAAAATTATTTCAAAAAAAGAACATGGAAAGAAAGGGTGTTGTTTTCAATACCCTACTTTGTATTTGCTCTATTCAGCCATGCTGATGGGCTTGCATCTTGCTGCTCTACTTGGTGCCACAAAATATTACATGCTGGGAAGTTTTGCAGATGAACCAATTTCCATGGCATACTGACCTCATTTCTCTCCTTTCCAATCTCATATGAGTTAATCCGCCTTTAAGAATTATAGCAGAATAGACTCTGTTGAGGTTGCATGTGAAATGTTTGATTAAAATGGAATCATAAAGTAGGGAGATCAGTATTTAGAAATCAAAATAAGCCTGCAATAGCAAAAACAATCTTGAAAAAGAACAAATTTGGAAGACTCACACTTCCTGATTTCAAAACTTATTACATAGCTATAGTAATCAAAACAGTGTGATCCTGGCTTGAAGATAGACACTTAGACCAACAGCATGGACTGGAGAGCTCAGAAATAAACCCAGGCATACACGGTCAATCAGTTTTCAGTAGGAGTGCCGAAACCATTCAGCGGGGGAAAGGACAATCTTTTCAACAGTTGGTGCTGAGAAAACTGGATATCCACGTGCAGAAGGATGAAGGTGGATCTACACCATGTACAGAAATTAACTCAAAATTGATCAAAGGCCTACGCTTAGGAGCTGAAACTACAGAACTCTAAGATGAAAACATAGCGGGAAATCTTCATGGCATTGGATCTGTCAATGATTTCTTGGCTATGATGCCAAAAGCATAGGCAACAAAGAACAAATAGAAAAATTGGACCTCATCAAAATCAGACATTTGTGCATCAAAGGACATTTTCAAGAAAATGAAAAGACTACAAAATAGGAGAAAATGTTTGTGAATCGTATACCTGATAAAGAATGTTAATCCAGAATATATAAGTAATTCCAACAATGCAACAGGAAAAAAAAAACTCAATTCAAAAATGGAAAAGGTCTTGAATAGGCATTTCTCCAGAGAAGATATACAACTAGCCAATAAGCACATGAAAAGATACTCAACATCATTAGTCATTAGGGAAATGCAAATCAAAACCACAATGGGATACCACTCTTTGCCCACTAGGATGGCTGTGATTCAAAACCAAACAACAACCAAAACAATAAAAGGAAAATAGCGAGTGTTGGCAAGGCTTTGGAGAAACTGGAATCTTCATGTATTGCTGGTAGGAATATAAAGTGGTGCAGCCATTTTGGAAAACAGTTTATCAGTTCCTCAAAAAGCTGAACATGAAATTACCATATGACCCAGCAATTCCACTCCTATGCATATACCCAAAAGAATTGAAAGCAGGGACTCAAACTGATATTTGTACACCAATATTCATAATAGCATTATTCACAATGGTCGAAAGATGGAAGCAACCCAAGCAAAATATGGTGTATGTGTGTGTATATGTATGTATGTATGTGTGTGTTTGTGTGTGTGTATATATATAAAATGGGATATTATTTAACCATAAAGAGGAACAAAATTCTGACATATCCTACAACATGGATGAACCTTGAAAACATTTCGCTAAGTGAAATAAGCCAAACACAAGATGGACAAATACTGTATGATCCCGCTTCTATGAGGTACCTAGAGTAGAGACAGAAGGTAGAATAGAGGTTTCCAAGACCTGGAGGTTGGGGAAAGTGGGGAGCTCTTGTTTAATGGGCACAGAGTTTCTGTTTGGAATTATTTTTTAAAAGTTCTGGAAACAGGTAGTGGTGGTGGTTGCACAACATTTTGAATGCCCTTAATGCCACTGAATTGTACACTTGAAAATGGTTAAAATGGTAAATTTTATGGTACATATATATATTTTTTCTTTAACAGTTTTATTGAGATATAATCATATAATAAATGGCACAAATTTAAATTTCCAGTTTGTGATACATACATTTTAACACAAAAACTCAATACTACACATGAAACTCATATAATGTTGTGTCAAATATACTTCAATAAAAAATAAAATTACATTAAAAAAACTCAATAAAGCATTTGATTTGAAATATATGTAATCATAGTAATTAACAATTACAAGCAAACATTTAAAAATTTTGTCTCTATCCCCCAAAGTTTATATATTTTAGTCATCCAAAATACATTTTGAGGGACTTATCATTGGGAAAATGGAGTTTCCTAGAAACAGTCTGTCTTATGTGTAAATGTATGTGCTCGTGTTTGGGTTGGGGTTGGGGGGAGTAGAAGAAAAGAAAAGAGACTTATACCTCTTCATACTGAAAGAAGATCATCCTTTTTGCTTGTCCTGGGGAAAACACTGTCACAAGATACTTTTGGGAATGCTGCAGACTGAGCAGGGGAAAAAGGAGGTAAAGCACACACTACCAGCATCAGAAATGAAGGAGGGGCTATCACCACAGACCTACATACATTAAAAGGCAAATAAAAAATATAGTGAGTAACTTTACGCCAATAAACTTGACAAGCGACATGAAAAGAAAGTTCTTTGAAAAACACAACTTAGCACAAGGATACAAAAAGAAATAGAAAATTTGAATAATTCTATTTTTAAAGTTGAAATGATGATCAAAAGCCTTCCTACAAAGAAAACTGCAGGTCCAGATGGTTTTCTTTGGGAATTCTATCCAACATATAAGGAAGAAATTATACTAATCTTACAGAAACTCCTTTAGAAAATAGAAACTATTCCCAACTCATTTTATGAAGCCAAGATAACACTGCCAAAAAACTTGACAGAAACACTACAAGAATATTCGAGACCAACATCTCTTAAATTGCAAAAATCTTTCACAACTATTAGCAAGTCAAAAGCAGCAATCCTACATCATGATTAAGTAGGTTTATTTCAGGAATGCAAGGTTACCTTAACATTTAAAAATCAATTGATGTTATTTGCCACATTAACGAAATAAAAGAAACACCTTATGGCCAAACCAATAAATGCAAAAAAAAAAAAAAAGCCTCTGAAAAAATTCAATAGGCATCATGATTTTAAAACAAAATCTTTGCAAAGTAGGACCTAGAAAGGAACTTTTTGTTAAATTTAAAAGGCATCTTCAAAAAGATATCATACTTAGTAGCAAAATATTGCTGAAGAGAAGAAAAGCTGGACAAAAAGCCATACCCAGGCCCTGGAAAGATTGATGTTACTACCAGTAAGTTTCACTAATAGTGGGTAAGAAAAATTTTATAACAGAAAAATGTCTTCAATTATTATGTTTTTTCCTCATCCTACCTGGATACCAGTGATGTACCCTTCCCACAGCACACTATATATGACCTTCCAGAAAAGGCAGGGGAGGACTATTGAAAACTCAAGCATTTTATCTTCTATCTTTTTAATTTTTTTATTGAAATACCTTCAGTTACAATGTGTCAATTTCTGGTATACAGTACAATGTCCCAGTCATGCATATGCATACATACAGTCGTTTTCATATTCTTTATTTTATCCTCTTGATTTTCCTTCGATATTTGATTAGCATCCCCTGCCTACATCATCCTCTGACTCGCCATCCTCCAGTGATTCTGAATGCCACTCCAGAAGCCCGTCGAAACCTGGTGGGTGCAGAGAAGTCTCTTGCTCTTGCTGGAAAATGACTTATAAAAAGTGGGATGCTCACCTGCTACTGTAACAGAGGTAGGTGCATGTAAAGAACCAAATCGACCTGTTCTCTTCCTCTTTCCTCTCCTCCTTTAATCCCTTCAGAGGTTTCTATTTTTGAGTTTTTGTGAGCTTAATTCTGACCAGTTTTAGAACAAAATCATTTATCCTGTAAACAAAAGACCCTCTACTTGTATATTTTGTATATTACCAGGCAATATTTGGGCTTACATCTGCCTTTATCAATTCAAAATAATTTTAAGATTAATTTGACAATATTTTATATTCAGTTTGGGTTTTCTAGCTAAGATTAGTAAAGCATAAATAAAAATTCACTGGCACGTTGTGGGGGAGGGGACGTTCTAAAAGCTTGGTTTCTTTTACAGACATTGGTGAAAGATTTTTCGTTCTGTTCATCAATTCCAAGTTACAAATAGAGGCAAAAAAAACAGTTTAATTTAATGTCTTCACCATTGATTGATACATAAAAAGTAGTATATTTGTCCCCTAGAAAAAACTATAATAGATTCGGTGGTAGGCGGAATAATGCCCACCCCACCCCCAAGATGCGGTCATCCCAATCCCCAAAGTCTGTGAGTATGTTATGTTACGAGGCCAGGGAGAAGGTAACAGATGGAATTAATTTTGCTAATCAACTGATTTTGAGATGGAGGGAGGACCCTGATACAGGATCCAGGTGGAGCCTCTGTATTCACAAGAGTCTAATAACTGAAAGAGGAGAGGCAGTGTTAGAGTGATTTACTGTGAGAAGACTCAGCTAGCCATTTCTTGTTCTGAAGACGCAAAGGAATTCAGGCAGCTTCTAGAAGGTGGAAAAGGTAAGATTCTTCTCTATGGCCTTGAAGGAACACAGCCATGCTGCCACATTGATGTTAGCCCACTGGGATCCACTACAAACTTGTGACCTACAGGATTATAAAATAATAAATTTGTGTTGTTTTAAAGCCACTACATTTGTGGCAGTTTGTTACAGCTGCAGTAGGAAAGATAGGAAACAAATAATCTTTACTATTCAATCACATTGTAATTTAGTAGTTTGAACACAAGGTGGCACTAGACTACCAGATTTATCCGGGCAATGCTACAATTTTTTTCTAATACAAGTTTTTAAATCATCTTGTCACATTTGCATCTAAGTTTTCTTCAGTATTGTTGGTAAGTCTCTTAATTTGGCCTTCATGGGTTTTTTTAATTGAAATATAGTTGATTTACAATATTGTGCTAGTTTCAGGTGTACAGCAAAGTGATTCGGTGATAACGTATATATGCATATATCTGTATTTTTTAAAAATTCTTTTCCATTATAGGTTATTACAAGATACTGAATATAGTTCCCTGTGCTATACAGTAAATCCCTGCTGTGTTTGATGACTTTTTAAGTTGATTCCTGGCAATGATTTTTTTTAATCAAGAAAGATGAACTATAAATGAATAGAAGCTGCTAGAATATTTGTCACAAGCATGAGAACTTCTCTTGTTCTTGGTTCCTTTCACACGGAGGGAAGCCCATAGCAGGTGTCCAATAAATAATTGTTAAATGAAAAACCATCTCATGTCCAATTTGCATATATATAAATTGTTTATGAAGTCTTCTCATATTAGCCTGAATCACCTGGAAAGTAAAGTAAATGCTTTTGTCCAAGAATTTTAAATTTAGCACAATTCACAGAGCACTCATTTGCTCAAATGCCCTTACAATGCATTCTTCTTTGTGCTAGAAATGAAACAGCTGCAGCTTGTTCCATAGAGCCAACCCTGCCCTCCACCCAGGTGTGTCCAATTCCAATGAAACACTCTAGGCCGCCTCTCCTCCTGCCAGTGTGTGTGAGTGACTTTGGGGGAGTGCGTGGTCGGGGTGACCAGGAACCACAAGTGAACCACTTTGGGAGGCAGGGTTTCCAGGTATTCTATGTGTTTCACTGGATGCTTTGCTCTTGCTGCTCCCTCTGCCTAAGGGCGTTAGTCCTCTCCTTTGGCTTGTCCACCTCTCCAAGTCAAAGGGATAAAGTATTTTCTGCGGACAGTTTCTTCCAGTATTCTCTGTCCCTGACATCCTGTAAATTCTGATTCCTCTCTATTCTTGTAGAACTTTGTTCCTCTCAACCTTTTCATGTTGTTTTAGGGTTCATGGTATAAAGTGGCACCAGCTTGTAATTTCCCTGTAGAAAAGATTATATTTTATTCTTTTTTGTATCCTCAACACCCAGCCAATACCAGGAATAAAGTAAATATTTCTGGAGGTAGGGAGGCTGTTCCATCACTGGGCTCAAACTGCAGATGGGTAAAATAACTGCTGATTTCTTAATATTTAAGTATGGGTGTGTGCACGTATGTTCAACCCAGAAGAAACAAGTAATCAGGATTACATTCATCATTTGGGTGTAATTTCTTAGGACAGTAAATATAATGAGGACTAAAATAAGTGCTGCCTTTCCCCTTTTAAAAAGATAAGGAAGGCATTTGAATGCAAATTGTAATGTTTGTCTTCAAAGAGGAATGATTTGCCACTCTTTAATTTGATAAAGCTCTTTATGCTTCAAATACAGACTGGGGCTTTAAATATTAATAAACTTCAGAAAGCTAGAGTCAAATCCTCAACTTTTCATGAATTAATTATAACAATTTTAAAACTTCAATTTTATGAAACAAACATAACATACAAGATGGCTTTTCCAAATTGTGTCTTCTTTTTGGTATTAATTCATATGAGTAAATAAAATTTTATGTATATTAAACTGAGCATTAATACTATAATTTGAAGTTTCCTATTTCTTGTTATTGTACAATTTTAACTATAGGTTTTTTGCATTCAATAAAGTGACTATAATTATTATTTTAATCAACTTTTTATCAAAGTGCTGTTTGAATAGTATAAAAGATCGAATATTGCTAAAAGTAACTTTTATAAAACAATAGTTTCTTTTCTTCCACTTCCTATCCCATCATCTGCCAAGTAACCAATTTCAATTATTTTAGCTATTTTCTCTGATCTTACTTTCTTATTTCTAAATAATATGTATATACTGCTATTCCTTGACTCATGTGAATAGATTTATCTGTTGATTTCCAATTCTAAATAAGGATTTTAGCTCATTTATATCCCCTTTCTCTTCCACCATCTTCTCAATAAAATTATCTCTTCAATATCTATTAAGCCTATGTTCAGTGTTTTCATAATTCTGACTATGTGTACGTAGTATGTAGTGGATTTTTGCATCAAGTAGCATGATTATATATCCTTCCTTACATAACTGTTTTTTCTGGAGTTAATAATTGCCTCATTTAAAAGAATTTTCTTAATTTTCTTGGAAATCTGACTAAATAGCCCCACATCTTCAACAGCTCTGTAAATTCTCTCAATTAAATTTTATACAAAGCATGTTAGAAAACTGAAGAACTGCATCCCAGGCACCCAACCCTCTTCAGTCCCGAGTCCTAGTGCCTCCAGCCTCCTACTGCGAATGGGTGCTTCCACTGTGGGGCTGTTGCTCCCCTCTTGTATTGGAGCTTCTATTTGCCATCACCCTGGGGATTCTTTCTGCCCCTGTTGTATGCTTTGTTTCCTCAATCCCCTGTATCCCTGTATCCCTGTATCTTCCCTCTACATCAAGCCCTTCCATGTGAATGGTGTGTGTGTGTGTGCGTGCACATCCCCAGATAGGCTTCCTAAGAAGGGTGATTGGGAAGGAGATTTTTAAAGTCCTGCACATCTAAATTGCCTCTTTACTACCCTCTCCCTTGATGGAGAGTTTGACTAAATGCAGAATTTTTGGTTAAAAAAATTGTCCGTTGGAAATGTGGAGGTCCAGTTTCCTTATCATCCACCTCCCATTTGAGATGTTTGATGCCATTCTTGCATGCTTCTGCGCATTACCTGTCTACCCCGCCTCCTCCCCACCAGAACTTTTAGCGTCTTCTGTTTATCACCAGTGTTTGAAATTTAGTGATAATGAATCTTTTGTTGTTGTCTTATTATTTCTTGGGTTTTTTTATATATTTTGTTTGTTTGGTTTTTTGTCTTTTATTCCTTGGGCTGAATATCCAGAGGGCCTCTTTTGAAAAAAGGCTCATGTTCTTCAGCTCTGCAAAATTCTCTCAGGTTATGTTACTAACACTTTTCTTCATCATTCTTTTCTCTATTTCTGGAGCTCCTATTATTTAGCTGTTAGGCCTCCTGGACTGATGAACTAATTTCTTCAATTCTCTCTCTTCTTGTCCAATTACTTGCCATTTTGCCCTAAGTTTTGGATTCCCCAACTATATCCTCTACTTTTCTACTGAGTCTTTCATTTCTGCCATCTAATTTTTATTTTCCTAGTGTTTTTGTTGTCCTCTGAGTATTCCTCTTTTTAAAAATACCATCTTGTTCTTGTTTTATGGGTACAATAGTCTCTCTTATTTCTTTGAGAGCTGTAATGACTTTTTGTTTCATTTTTCTTCTCCCTCTGTAGTTCGTGTCCTGAGTTCCTTTAAAATAACAGGATTATTGGAGGTATAATTTGTGCCATAAAATTCACCCATCACTGCAGTCCAGTTTTAGAACATTTCCATTGCCCCCTAAAGATCTCTAGTGCCCGTTTGCAGTTCATCTCCATTCTTAACCCTGGTCCCAATCAGCATTCTGTCTCTGTGCATTTGCTTTTTCTAGGAATTCCATGTAAATAAAATCCTATAATATAGGCTTTTTGTGTCTGATTTTTCACTTTGCTTGGCATTTCTGAAGGTCATCTTTGTTGCAGCATGCGTTAGGAGTTTGTTCCTTTCTATTGTTGAAGCCTATTCCATTGTGCTGATGGACCACATTTTGTTTTAACATTTACCAGTTGACTAGACATTTGGGTTGTTTCCACTTTGGAGCAATTATAAACATCTTGTTGTTATTGTAATATTTTATTTTGAACTCTGTGTTTCACATTAGAGAATTTTTTTCCTAAATGTATGACATTCTCTAGCAGTCTGCTCAGATTTAGAAAGAGAGGCCAAAAAAGTTACTTGGAAGCTGTCTGTTTGCGTTG